GAGGGACTAGATTTGGACGCATGGATAAATGAACCGCTTCCAGAATCGGCGAATAGCGAAAGCGAAGAAGAAGAGGAAAGTTACGGCTATGGATACGGACAAAAACTAGGTGGCAGCGGAGATTTAATATTCTCAAGCGGTAACGGAACTTCTATAGGAAGGCGTAGGGGCAGAAAATCATCCAAATATGAAAGTGAAGAGGATGAAGAAACGAAAGAACGAGTAAACTTATTTTTATTAAATTTTTATGATTGTTTCTTTGCTATTGCTTACCTGAAATATCATCATGTTAGCGTCGAAATGAGAGAAGAGAGAGAATTAAAAATGATCCGTTCTACATTGGTGACGGAAAAAAGTTGCCGAAACGATCAAATCTTGACTCATCAAATCGTAACAAGGAAGAAATTGACGTGGATTCCATACCCGTTGTACAGTTGACGATGGATGAATTTGATCTTAAATGTAACTGCAATGTTAAACTATACACTTTCCTTCGGAGAAAACTATTTTGTACTACCTAGATACTGACATGCGTCTTATTTCAGTGAGCAATAAAAAATCACAAAAGTCAAAAAAATCGAAAGGTTCCAAAGGAGAGAAACGGCAATCTCAGTCTCCACCATCGGCACCGCCTGTCATCTACACTGACATTGGTGAGATGCCTGAGAATGCTACCTTGTCCGATGAAGATAAAGAATCAAAGTCTGTCGATTTAAATAAATCATGGGCATCTTCATTAAACAGAAACAATGGAATTTGGGACGTAGATTTTTCAGGCGTGGCGAACATTGATTTATCAACTCCGCTTGGTGATGATGAGAAACTTCCACAAATGGCAGTATACCTTTCTCCCGAAGAAGTAAGAAGGCAAGAAGAGGCAAGAGTGCGAAGGAAATTGGAGGAAAGGCGTTTGATGTTGGCGAATGAACGGATTCCAAGGACAAAAAAAACAAAGGTAAAAACGACAGAGTGTGTACATTTTGTTAATATTTTGATATCGGCATTTATCTTTGTTTTATGGATAGGACGAGAAACTTAAAATAAAGACTCCTGTAGAAACCTCGAAACCTCCCGAAAAATTATCCAAATCGAAAGGCACCGAAAACAAGGATAAAA